TTGGAATTAAAAGGTACAAAACGGCAAGAAGGCCAAGGTAGACCCATCAAAGAATGAAGGTAGCCTGCCTACTGGCTTGATCTAGGGTCGGAGGACAGCACGGGCCAGGCCCTGGCTGGAAGTCCAGGCCTGTGATGGCTTCCTGGTGACGGCAGCAGCACAATGGCTGTTACTGCTGTGTCGTTGCCCACCCGTGTCTGGCACTGTCTGAGAGAATGAAGGGCTCGCCCTTGGCAGAGCCCAGGCAGTGCGGGCCGGCTGCGGGTGAGGAGCCAGCCCTGCCCTGCGAGAACCAGCACACATCCCCGCCACCCTCTCCACGGGCCCAATCTGCTTTCCCTCCAGCAGGGTTTATTTTCCCGCAGGACAGGTGGCGCGGGGTATGGGGAGACAAGGCAGATACCTTCTCTAGCACCTCCCCTGGGTACAGGGGGAAGGGGTCCTGGGCCAGCCGGATCTCTTGGTCACCGTGACGGAGTCGTACTTGCCCTGTGACGTCGAGCAACACGGAGCCCTGGCCATCCCGGCACACAGGGTTGGCCACAACGCAATAGTGGCGTGGAGGGACAGTCACCATGTGCACGGGGGCAAACAGTATCCTGTCGGATGGTGAGAAGGAGTAAGAGGACCCAGAAGAGCCACACCCTCACCCCAAAGGAGACGGCAAACGCGAGGGAAACCCCCGTCACCCCAGTGAGGGCCACTCCCACACAGAACAGGGAGAAGGGCAATGCCTCATCCAGAGGAACAGGTACCAACCTCTCATTGTCCTGCCGGATGTAGGTCTTCGGCCCGATCTCCACGCGGGACACATTGCTGTTCTGGTCCAGCACGTGGATGTAATGGTACGGGGGGATGCGGATGATGGATTCGCCATCGGCCATGGTGGCTCCTATCCCCCGGGAGAACCTGAGTGCGGGGCGGGGCAGACAGGTGGCAGGGACATGAAATGAACAAGGGGGCCAAGTGCGAGTCAGGCCCCTCCTTCCCCGTCCCCGGGCCCCCCCTCCCTCTCTTCTTCCCACCCGGGACAACAGGCCCACCCAGATCTTGTAGGAGTCGACCCCCGCAGACCAGGGGTCGCTGCTATCTCCTTCCCACCCCGCCCTCCTGCACCGCCCTCCTCTGCTGCCTGCTGCACGGGTGGGGGCTTTAGATCAAAAGGCTCCCCGTCTGAGCCGGGAGGGGAGGCTGGGTTTTGGAGGCAGCAGTGGATCTTGCCCAGCACTCAGTGGGAAGCAGTGGCTCTGCGTAGCTCTCTGGTTCCTCCAGAGGCTGATACCTTTTCATCTCAGGGGATCCTCAGGGCTGGCGATACTCAAGGGTTGGACTATAACCAGAGCATTCGCAGACCTCTGATCGCGCTCCTCCCATTGTGCTTTGCGCAAGCCAAGGGTGAAAGGTTAGGGCATGGTCCACCAGGGAAGGGATCCCGGACCAGACTGATGCCCTCATTCATCAGGCGGGCCAGTACCGCAGCAAGTTATTCTAGGAGCAACGCCTCAGCTCACAAACGCTTTTGTTCACAATTTGGCTCTCAAGCGTTTGACAAAATTTTGCTTCTGTTCACAAACTCCCCATCAGGTAACAAATACAACTGTGTCCAACTTCCCCACACAAATACAAATGTGGCCATCTTCTCCAAAACCGTAAAACAAATGACACTGAATCTGGGACCCGAGGTAGTGCTGGTCCAGTACTCCCCTCCTTAGCTTTCTCTCTGTTGCTTGTGATCTCCCTGGGCTCCCTGTTATGGGGGGAGAGAGGCAGAAGGGTAGGGCAGGGTAAACGATTTTCAGTTATACCCTCCCTGAAGCCTGTGGTTGGCCTGTTCAGGAATGTCACACACCCTACCTGAAGCTCATCCCTACAGCTGCACCTCTTGGACTTTGACTGCGTCCCTTGAGTCAGACAAAGGCAATCAAGTTTGCCCAGCAACTCAGAACCTTGTCCTAAGACAGGTTATGGCCACGCTTTCCTCTTTTCTTACCTTTCAGTGCTGGGGATTGAATCCAGTTACGGATCACACATAGGGTACGAGGCAAATACTGTACCACCGAGCTACACCCGGAGCCCCCAGACATTTTTTTTTTCTTTCTTTCTTTTGATCACCTCGAACTCTTGGCGATCCTCCTGCTTCAACCTTCTGAGTGCCAGTTTTAGAGGCACCACCATGCCTGGCTCCCCATCGGACATTTTGGAAGCCGCCCTAGCAAATAGAGTGGTTCCTCATTCCGGTACTCGCTGGCCACCCACTTTGGTGAGAAATGGAAATGATCTGCAAAGGGTGTGGCCTCCCTCACACAGGAAAAATAGGCAGGCGGCAGAAAAAAAAAAAAAAAAATCACAAAACCAACACTGGAAAACACCTTGAGAAAAGAGTATTATTTGACCCATACAGCCTGTAAAATTTTGGGGGGTTTTCGTTGTTGGTTTTTTTTTTTTTTTTTGAGACAGGGTCTCACTACGGAGTTCAGGCTGGTCTCAAACTTGTGATAAGCCTCCCCAGTGCTTTCAGAAATTCGAGTTTCCAACCAGGAATAGTGGTGCACATCTGTAATCCCAGCACTCTGGGAGGCTGAAGTAGCAAGATCACAAGTTCAGGCTCACCCTGCGCAGTCTATCGATTTAGTGCGAACTTGTCTCAGAATAAAAAAATAAAAAGAGGTGGGTATGCAGCTTAGTGCAGAGGCCCTTGATTCAACCCCCCAGACTGCCAAAGAAGAAATTATGAGTTTTCACAAGCTCCCAATTCCTGCCTCTCTCGAAGAATTAGGAGACCAATAAAAAATGTGGCAAAATTGCCAGGAGCCAAATAGCAGCTGCTCCTTCTAGATTATTATAGGCAGTTCAATTAGATAAAAATTAATACATAGTCAGAGAGGGGCTGAGCTCTCAAGGAAGTCAGCACAAAAATAAAGACAGCAGAATTGTGACTGGGGCCCAAATGGCCATCAATTGGAGAAGGGGTAAAAGAAGATTGTTTTATACAATGGAGTAGTACTCAGCCATAAACAAGGATAGGCTCAAGACATTTCTAGGTAAATGGATGCACCTTTAGACCATTCTCTTAAGCGAAATAAATCAGACACGTGTGTAAATACCGCACTGTTTCTCTGGTGTGAGAAACCGAAAGTGTAAATAAGGACAAAAATGTATAATAGGTATTGTAAAATAAAATGTTTAAAATGGGGAGAACAAGGGAGGGGGAAAGGAAAAAAGTTAAAAAAAAAAATGAGAAAAGGAGGAAAAAAATGGAAACAAAGTTTTTGTAAATGAGGAAGGAAGGAGGGATTAAAGGCAGGGGGATGGGGAAAAAAGAAACAAGTTATATCCTGTATGGGAATAAATTCTCTATGATGAATGTTACCGTTATGTATATCTAAAATGTACCAATAATATATGAATAGAGAAATAACAAAAAAGAGTTGTGGCTAGAGGCACATCTGAAGACCAGGCCTCAAGTTAGATATGCGGTGGCCAGGCCTACACCCTTCCCTAAGGCATAAACAGCAATTTGAGATTATAGGCAACTAGCATCCCCTGGACCAGTAAGTCCAGATAGGCATCAGTCTCCCAGGTGGGTACCCAGAGCATCTGGACCCATTCCTTCCCCAAACGTCTCTGTTCTCTCCACGTACCCTTGCTACATGACTTGTTTCCCTATTGGCTCAATATTGGCTAAGCAGCTATACTTGTAATCGTACAGGTTGATTGTAGTTTGACCAACTGCGTAGTTTTGCTGTATAAATTACTCCTACAAAGCGCTTCAGTGGCCACCCCATTTGGGACCCCTCCTGGGAATCCAGGAGCTAGTCTTCTGTCCCCATTTCCAATAAAACTCTCCTTTGGGGGGTGGGGAGGGCGGTACGGGGATTGAACTCAGGACCTTGCGCTTGCCCGGCAGGTGCTTATGCTGCTGAGCTATATCCCAGGCCCCTACAATAAAACTCTCCTTTTTTGGCAGGGGGTGGCGCGGTACGGGGATTGAACTCAGGACCTTGCACTTGCCAGGCAGGTACTTATGCTGCTGAGCTATATCCCAGGCTCCTACAATAAAACTCTCCTAACTTCTTCCTTTGGTTCACGACTTCATTTCTCGAGCTGTGGGACCTTGAACTGAGCACATCTGACATACAGCACGCTGGGAGTTACATTTCTCCCATGTCAGGATGCGACACAAGCTTTTCTGCTTCCCATAATTGCCTCCCCTCCCTACCTGGGCCACGGCATGCATCCCCCCCCCCATACATATGAAACTCAGCACTGTCCAACAGGACTTCCACGATGAGGGGAATATTTTAAGTGTGCTCTATTTCTGGATTGCTCTGTGTGTGGCTACTGAACGCTTGAAATGTGGCCAGTGCCTCCGAGAAAATAAGTTAAACAATTTTTTTTTTTATTATTTATGTGTTTATTATATTTTTAAGAAAGGGTCTTACTATGTGACCCAGGCTAAGCTTGAAATTGTGATCCTCTTGCCTCAGCCTCCCCAGCTAGCTGAGATTATAGGTACGTACCACCACACTCAGTGGTAAAATAAATTTTTAACATTAATTACTTTGGGGAGCAGAGGGTGTAGCTCAATGGCAGAGAAGGTGCTTAGCATGTGTGAGGTTCGTTTGATCCCCAGCACTGAAAATAAATTTTTTTTCAAACTTTTTTTTGGGGGTGTACCGGGAATCGAACTCATGACCTTGCACTTGCCAGGGAGGCGCTGTGCCGCTGAGCTATACCCCAGGCCCCTCAAACTTTTAAACAGCCAAATGTCTTTGGTTGATCCCTTGTTGGATGGCAGAGCTCTAAGCCGCTGAGACACAGATGGGTGAGGGATGCAAAGTTAGCCCACCTGGGCTGACAACCCGGATTTACTATCTTATGCCTTGTGTGTTTCCTTCCTCCCTGACCTCCTTTTGAAAGTGGCTGCAGTTTTAATGTCTTCCTGACACTGTTCACATCAAAGGGATGTTATTCTGTCCCATATTCTTTTATCTTGCAATTCTGTACGGTATGTGACCTTGATGTTTTTCTATGACTCATTTCTGCCTGAAGTTAATTCTCCTAACTTGCAGGAAAGCAGCTTTCCTAGTTCCGATTTCTCACACTGCTGTTTAAGAACAAGGGGTCCCCTTTCTTGTTTTCTGGCTCTGCTCCTTCCCTCTTATCCCTGCCTTTTCTCTCCCTTCTCTCTCCCTCTGTTCTGGGAAGACCGCTTCCAGGACTCCACAGGGTTGGAACTGTCTGGATGGTGCCTTTATCCCTTATTAGATGGGTGACCCTAGACAAGTCCCTTGACCTCCCTGTACCTGTTTCCTTGGCTACAAAATAGAGATGGAGAGCCAGGTGTGGTAGTGCATGCCTGTAATCCCAGTACTTGGGAGGATGAGGCAGGAGGATCGTTGTGAGTTCGAGACCAGCCTGAGCTACAAAGTGAGCTCAAGGCCAGCCTAAACTGCAGTGAGACCCTGCCTCAAAAAGACAAAAAAAAAAAAAAGGGATGGATCAGCCTGGCAGGTAGCATACACTTATAGTCCCAGTACTCCGGGAGGCTGAAGCAGTACGATCACAAATTCAAGCCCAGCATGAGTTTAGTTACTTAGACAGAGCTTGTCTCAAAGCAAAAAAATTTTAAAAGGGGTTGGGGATGTAGTTCACTGTGAAGGCCCTGGCTTCAATACCTAGTAGCACAAAATAAAATTAAATTAAAATAACTTTTTAAAGCAAAATGCTCAGAAGAGAGCCAGGCTATTCATAAACTGTGTTTTACTGTACATAGGGTACTGGCAGTGCCTGAAGCCCAACTTTTCTATCCAGGGCAGCACCACTGGCCCCTCCCTGCTTAGCCTCCTGGCTTCTGGGTTCACCGGTCAGGAAGGTGACAAGTCTTGTGTTACGCCAGCTGCGGGCTAGCGGCACAGTAAAGCAGGCTTCCCAGAGCCAAGCGAAGCTTTTCCCAGCAGCTCCTCTGCCAGGTTCTCTGCAGGGTGGAAGCCCGGCCAGGAAGCCAGATGGGGCAGGAGGAAGGGCTCGCGCTGCAGGTGGAGGTGTGGGCCAGGTTCTGAGGCCCCACAGGGGCGATCTGAACTCTAGAAGGCCAGGGGAGGCTGCAAGCAGGCCCTGGGAACAGCTCCATTGGCTCCTTCTTGGACGATCCCCTGCTCCCCCATGGCTGAGGCCTCTCCACCATCTGCCACCCCAGCTGGGCCCACTCAGGGGGGGATGCGCACCTCCCCCAGCTCAGTGACTCAGCGCAAGTCATCCTCACCACAGGTCATGCTGTGCTCCTGCCCCGGCTTCAGTGCCAGACCCTGCGTCCACTCCCTGAGCGCACCCCTTGCACACGCCCTAGAGCGGTGCCTCCCCCGCCCGCCGGGCGCATCACTCAGCACGTCTCACCCTGATACACCTGCCACGGAGTTCACGATGAGTCTCAGACTTTGGTGGCTCACCAGATGACACGCAGTTAGAACATTTTGCTTCAAGGCCCTCAAAAGGCAATGGCGAAGGAGTATGCTGACCTTGGAAGGGGGTGCCCCACTCTCAAGTCTGGCCCTAGTTCCCCAAACCCACTCACCCGCCTCCCTTTAGTCCCTGCCTGAGATCTGCCCCCAGTAGACCCTTGAGATACACGCCCAGCATTGCCCGGTCACAAGTGCCTCAGATGTCATGAGATTTCCGCAAGAAGCACACAGTGAGACCGTGACTCAAAAAAAGTAAAAACAAAAAACAACCCCATGCGCCAGGTGT